TTATAGAATTAGAGTTCAAATATGTCGAGGTCAGTGTCCGACTATATATTGACTTGGTTCTAGTGGTGCGTGTATACATATGTCACAGATTACTGTTTTGATCGGTATCCCCGAATGTTATAAATTAACAATCCGCACTATGAATATTTAAATAAATGACAAAAACAATATTAATAAAAACGAAACACGAGTAGGTAGAAAGAAATTGCAATTATTTTTAAACAACCTATGGGATATAGAATGAAGCCTTAGTGGACTGGACACGGTTTGTGCAACCCTTGGTCGTACAGCTAACTAATGTTTTGAAATAAGGGTATTCTATCATAGACAAGAGCGTCACATTACAATGTGCAGTTCATAACAATTTGGTTAGGGGCAGCTTATAGGCGATATCATACAACTATTATTTTAGTTTTACATTCTTGTTTTGAACTACGTGCCATGTTTGGCGATAGTAGTTGTGTTTAATACCGTCCATTGCATTCAAGACATGTATATATCAATATATATATCATTGTGCTGGATGTTTTTTGCCAATCAGAGCGATATGTAAGTGCGTTATGTGAGGTAGTGTTGAAATATACCAACTCGGTCTACTTTATATTGAATCCTAATAAATTCTCAAAGACATGTATTTACCATTTTCTACAACATAACCTCGAGAATCAATACGAACATGTATTATATGTCTACACCATTCTCATTGCGTTTGTTAAATAATCGGTACATTTACTTACAGTTGCTGGAAATAAGCGTTTTTTTCATCCGTGGCAAATTGTTGCACAAATATATATATCATATTAATTAATAACATCGTCTCCTATCCATTGCACGACATGATATGTATAGTGGCGAACACAGTAGCTCATTTTAATGATAATAGATACATGATTTACATTATTTAACGGCAGTGGAAAACACAAAAAATAAATTCGATATGTTATCATGATGAAAGGTTTAAAGCTGACATCTTGGCAGAACTCCGCTCACATTTCTGAAAGAGTTACTAAAGATATTGGTATGAGGTGTTACTAATATAGACAATTCAGATTCTTCGATATATTCAATGCAATGAATCTTCCTACAAAATATCTTAGTGCATTATCGCAGTTATATGTATATACATGATTGAGGTGACCTTGAAGCTGCAATACGTATATCATACTAACCAGTGGAATACAAGGAGACTGTTTGCATCATATACAAAACACTGTACTGTACTAAGCAACAAACCATGTCGATTATTGTTATACATCTCCGTCGAGTGGTTGTAATATAAAACCGCAATTGGGTTCTTCCTTGAAATGTACAGCTTAATTAGTTTGTGCACCCGGTATCCAAATTAACCGATCTCCTCGACATTACGCCTCAGGTGGTATTGCGTTAACCGTTATCGTCCGGCACCGCATACATGTTGATCGTTGCTGTATCATTACTGGAGTCAATCGGTCTCAGCTATTCTTTTCCGTAAATGAGTCGGAAGTTGTACTGGTAAGTATTAAGGAGAAAACTGGTTCCTCAGCGAAGTGTGCGTTGTTCTTTTCGAGCTATGATTTCTAGCTATGATGAAAAATAAAAACAAAATAAAAAAAGATTATTATCGTGTTTGAATTGGTTATTGGTCTATATGAACCATATGGCAAATGTGTTAGTTCCAGGGTAATTGATAGAATCGCAGTTGCTAGAAGCACGCCCAGAGAAAAGTGATGTATGCTCCAAATACGAACTATCTTGTTTAGAGATATATTGTGCGAGATAGTATCAGGTATTTGGTTTTCTCGACAATTGCTAAAGCAACCTATAGTGTTCATGGTAGAGTTGGTCACTAGTATAATACATGATCATGTGTTGAATTGTATGTGAGTGCATACAAATAGCAAAATACATATGATGCAGATGGAATGTGATTTATCAAATACGAATCTTGGCGCCATCGACAAGGTCTAGACGTCTAATCGAAATCCCTATTGAATATGCGTATACATAACCCCACATCTTCAAAATTGAAATGTGATACCATAATACCTAGGTAATGCCACTGTGGGAAGCAATTAATTGGGCACGTGATTTCTCTTCAAAATAAAACCAGAAACATGTAACATTTACAAACATGTTAGAGCTATACGATCATTTGTTTCACTAGAGAGGTTCGTCAAAACATGTGACCATTGTTAAAACATGAGTGCTCTACTACACCTTGTAGACTTGTACAAGGGTTCATAGATCACGTCTGTATTATTTTTGTTTTCTATGTTACAAAGATTTTTCTGAAGTTGTGATAACACTTCTGTAAATTCATCAAAACAAATCACTATACGAGTATACAGCCTTTAACATATATTATTAAAATAATGTCTATGCTTATCCAAGTCAAAACAAGGCGTAGTTTCAGAATGTTTTCAGAATTAGTTTATCCGACATGGTATAATCGTCAATAATAGAAACATATTTTCAATTAATCAAACAATATATATTAGTAATATAATATTTAAGCTCTGTCATGTATTCAACTAAAGTCGAAATAAAGTGTAGTTTCAGAATGCGCTTTGGGAGAAGTATAATCTCCAATCAATTCTTCCTAACGTATGCAAAACAAGTCACGCCTAACAGCAAAGATCAAGGTGACCCACGTGTAAATTACTTCTGCGTCTTAAGTAATTAGTGAGCACAGTGGCAGAGATATCACTAGTATAACAATTCGTAGTGATCGATTGCCCAGCTAATTGTGAATTTCATGTGTACACTACACATCCCCCGGCGTGTACTGTGTACGTTTCGGAAAGCATGTTGTAATCCTAGGGCATTGACGCCGACTCGGTTTAAACGATAGAGCAAAGGCTCACTATTCATCGTCATTGAGAATTTGATAACTTTTAACAGGAGTGCTGGACAGATGTCGCATTTGTGTACATTCGCTAATAGTGTTTATAGGGAATCCCTCAGGAGTGACTATAGAACGTCAAATTTATTAAACGGATGTAATAATTTTCATTTCTTTTTCAAAAGACAATTTCTACACGGGTTAAGGTAGCAGGACTATTATTTGCATACTTGTTTTCATCTTCTAATTGGGACCAAACGACTACAAATAGACCCAGGAAAGTATATATTTTTGGAATCGCCAGACTTCAAGCTTTTCAAAAGTGTGTTTGTCATGCCCGTATCTGCACTCTACGGTGCGTTACTTAATCAAAAGTGAAATTACGCATTTATGCTGGTAATAAGAAGTTTTGTTTTCACTTTTCCTAGTTGTTCAATAGTCTGGTAAATTGAATGTGTCTGGTCAGTTTTATTCAAGTAACGCGTTTTGAAAAGTAGTGTCCTGAATTTTAAATTTCTGTTTTAGTCGCATCATGGATGTACTAATTCTTAGTACATCCATGGTCGCATTGACCCCAACTCAAACCACAACACATTGATAAATAATCCATGAAATAGTTTGTCTGGACACATTCAAGTTTCTTTCATTGTCACCTTAAAGCTGTGAAAATTTGGTGTTATTCCGACGACAATAAGTATACGTTATTTTTTGTTAATGACCTTGTATTTTGAAAAACATAATCTCCTAGAAAACGTCGATGAAGTCACAGCAAAGATTTTCAAGTTTGTTTATCTGCACAAGCGATTTGTTTTTCCGTCAAGGTCTGTTTTAACATGTGTAGGGACATCCAAATGTGTAAGACTATTTTAAGCCAAAAAATAAAGGAATGGGATAGCTATAGTTCGATAAAATTGGCAGATGAAAACACTAAAATCAATGATTTTTTTCAGTGGCTGTGTGACCTTGTGTCTGACACATTCATATGCAAATTACTAATTTGTGAAATAAACCCAGGCGGAGACAAGCCACTCAAATGTTTGGAAACACTCATTGTGTGTCAGATAGCTTCTGATAACACATCCTAACATTGCTTTGTCTTGAGTTAATCTTTGAAACTTATAGGCACACAAATTAAACCTGTGTTGTTGATTTTAGAAAACACTACTGAATCTGCCTTGCTTTCCTTCAGAAAATCGACATTTTAACCATCTTACATGACATTCTAGGTTACGTTGACTTTGTCAGATGAAAGTTTATAGTGCATTTCATCAATTAATAAATAAATGTGAAAATCTTAATTTTCAACACAAATAATAGTCTCGCTACCTTAAATATATCTGATATTGTAGCCTCCCAAACTAGATAAAAAATATTTTTAAACTATATTTATGATTTTAGAGATGCATTGGTAATACAGTCCACAATCCAAGTGACGAATCGTCACTAGACATGGGTGAAATACATTTTTTGGCGAGGAGATTTTGTGGTTGGGACAATTTTAAATGACGTCGAAATCACATACGGATTTATATCACATACTCGTCTTAGTCGACATCTGAAACTACATGAATTGTTTGGATAAATATAATTCTCAATAATAATACAAAAATGATAATGTAAATACCACCAACATCAAGAGATATTGAGGTTTTCGTGACACTCGGCCATGGTGTCAGCAGTTCATTCTCAGGCTGCTTGCATGAACCAATTATAAGTTTTATAAATTAATATGAATTATAATATATTATTATACACCTGTCACCGTAGCGCCATAAGTTACAGCGTGCCGTAATTTTGCGGTATTTTACGGGGTATTTTCATCCTACCATATAAGGAAATGTGAATCCCAAATATGGAATAATTACGGGCGTAAGCGTTCTCTAATATTAAAAACAAACATGGCTGCCACCAGGGTTTGACCAGACTCCACACAAAGAAGTTCGCTGATTCTTTTACATTTCGGCATTCCCATGATGTATCCTTTGAAGGAAAAGTTGTATAATAATAATGTTATTACGAGGATACCTCAAAGTATGCACTCAGGCAGTACGCCGCGCCAGCTGTACTGTCTTCGTGCATACTTTGAAGTATTCTCGTAATAACCTCATATTATTACACTGAGTTGACATGGTATATATTAATTTATCCGAAGGTTGTCTAACAATTCATTTACGTATTTCTAGTTTAAATTAATAAGTTTGTACGTACTTGATCTTGTATTGTTACAACCATCGCGTTTCTCTCGGCAGCAGGTAAACACTTCCAGGAAACCCTGCCTGAACTTCTTCAGCATGAAGCAATAAATAATAGGATTGATGCACGTCGAAATGTGAGCAATCAACTTGAGTACAGCGGCCTGCACGGGTGTCAGAGTCATCATAGCCGAATGCATATCGTAGACGTACCAGATATTCAGGCACCAAAGAGGCGTCCAGCAAACGAAGAATACAGCCACTATCACGATTAGCATACCGACCACTTTTCTCTTGGCTGCATTGCTGGCAGAATTTCGCAATATCCGCTTTCTGTGTCTGGATGCCTTTTTGATGGAATTTAGCTTGAAACTCCCAGTAGTGTTGTTCATCTTGAAACTACCTTCTTCCGGTGCGCCTGTTTGTCGGTCTAATGTATTGATACGAAATGTGTGATTGAAAACTTTATTAGCACTGAGGTAAAATATTGGGTAGACAGTTTAATTAACCCAAGGTACGAATTTTATGTATTAATGGTGGCAAGGGTTTTGATATATGCACAAATTTGGAAGAGGTTAATTAATAAAATAAAGGACAAGTCCTACCACCAAATTTAACTTTGCCAAGTAACAATTATTTGTTATGCCTGACTGCATTGTCGCGTTCCCGGTATCTTGATGTTTTCGAAACCGGAAATGAAAGTTTCTACTATAGTAAAAATGTGTTTCAGAACGCGGACACCGTATAATGAGTTCCTATCAACACCCGATTGACAGCAGTATTGCGTGAATCGATTCATACATGAAAAACGATATATTCCCTTGAGTTAACCTATTCAGTACACGGGAGTAGATATCGTGTGTGTTCACACTCTAGCTTGCACACGTAATACTGATATAGTTGACACAAACACATGGCATATAAACTAAGTTGTGTGTAATATATTTTTTTATTTTCAAATGGCCCTCGAAATCTCATTGAGAGCGAGAGAGACGCGCTAATTATTTTTTTTTCACTGCGTCCACTGTTCTAATTACCGTGATTGCATGAATTTGTAGAACATTTTCGCGATGACAATACGTAGAGAAATGAACATTATTTCGTTAAATCTCGTTCCACTCTCGCCCCAACGTGTTTTCGGCAGCCATTTTTAAGAAAAGTGTATTATACGAGTTTGACTTACATTCGATGAAGACGTCTTTTTTCTCATTCTGCATACCCCTCCACAGATCTTTAATAACTAAACTGTACGCCACAGTCATCACAAACAATGGTGCAATCATAAGAATAAATAACAAGAATGTCTGAAAGGGAAATAATATCAAACATGTGACTATAATGTGGTAAATGAGCCTGCAATGGATTTGTAGGAATACGTGTAACGAGTCTCTTGGCTGTACTTTGTATGCGTTATTTCATTATACAACCATCAGACTTAAGTGGTTCCCATCATACAAACTGTTATGTACGATGAACATGCCAGTGCGTGCAACACAAATCGACAATTATCAAAGCTATTTTTATTCATAGCCGTTTCAAAGTGAAACAATCTTTATGGGTCGGCTACGTCGACGTGGTACCGATTACCATCTAACGATAAATAATACATATTTGCAGAGACACAAGCGTACAATGGGGAACAAAACGTGCTGAGCTACTTCGCGGCGAAATTGTGCAGGTCCCATTAGATCTGTACACTTCCTTTATGCTGTTTTACAATTGTCTGGGGAAATGATTATGCAAATCGCTCTAAAAATAAGCCATTCGTAATTTCCTCCCTCCTCGCCACATGTTCTTTATTTTCTGCATGGTCTCATCATCTACATTGAAATAGTTATTTTCTTATAGTGTGGAATTAAATCGCAATGAAAGAAATTACAGTGCAATGGTTTTAAATCGATTATATTCTCTTTTTTACCGCAGTGTATTCATCAAATGAATACCAGCTACTAGTTAGATATATTGGCATGTTTTCTTACATTTACCACATCAACGTCAGCTTATTATTTGGGAGTTTTCAAAAACAAAAGAAAGTATTATGATTCCATACCCGCCGTTTTAAGTTCAAGTTCGAAGTTTTTCATGAAGCTCACAATATCGAATTGCAAATTTATGTATGTGCATCAATGAGACATGCTACGAAAGACGATTACATTGTTCCTCAGTTGAGAAATAGTAAATCGGTATTTTCCATTTTGCTGGTTTATATGGCAACATCTGTTCGACCAAGAAGATGGTTTTCGGTATGTTGCAGGTTTACTTTGTTTCTGCTGTTTATTTCATTAATTCGTTTCTCCGAAAAATTTGAGTTCGAATGGCATGATTTTGCTGTCTATTACAGACCATTTGGGGGGGGGGAATGGGTCAAATGTGTGGTTGAGTAACAAAAATCTATATGTGCTAGAAAGAACGACTCAAGTGGCAAAACACTAGGACAATTCTCATTGAATAATCACTGACGGATAAGTCCGTGAATCGATTGATTTGCTGAATATTGGCCACCGATGACTCAGTGTTATCCGCATTGAAGCAAAGCTACGCTATGTATCTCCAAGTGTGACACAATTGAATAGTAATGAATGCGACTATTTATTTCCGTGCTACTTAGTGTACGCTCGAACCAACAATTAGTAAATGCGTGTTCTTAGAACGCACTAATGAATCACCTTACCACGTAAAACTGATATGCGGCTGGACTCGGCCAGAAGTCGTTACATCGATACCTGTTCTCGGCGAACTGCTCCAGATTGGCAAAGTAAGCTGACGGAATGAAAAGAATAATGCCAATAAACCATACTGCGGTAATCGTCTTGTATGCATGGGACTTGGTCTGCCATCTACGCGAACTGAGCGGTTGGCAAATAGCGAAGTGGCGTTCTATTGATATAGCCACCAGAGTCCACACTGATACGAACACTGACAGGGCTGACGGGAAAATAAAATAAACACAGTGTATTAAGTATATCACGTTATTTCAGGTGCCAGTCACTATCAAAAAATTAGCACTACAATACAAACGTCGCTGGAGTATATACAAAGTAGTCTAAAATATTTCGCACACTTTTATTTCACACAAGCATGACAATCAAATTTACAAATAACTGAAAAAAGAACATTAACATGACTTTGAAAACAATTGCGCTGTTCCAAACAGTCTCAGACTGCTACGAGCACGCTCCGCCAAAGACAATATGACACGACGGATAAAAAATAATCAACATTGAAACAAATGTGATTTCTTTTTCTAAGTACTACATTTTTACGAGTCTTATTTTCCTGGGTTATGTTTCAAACCTGTCAATCTTATATGGGTTATATATATATATATATATATATATATATATATATATATATATATATATATATATATATATATATATATATATATATGTATCATTGTAGCAATCCCAATAAAAAGTTGATTTGCATTTCATAACCAACCATTCTTTTTTTTAATTTTACGGCCACTCAGTTTGAAACTCATAATGAAACATTCCGATCTCCTAAGACGGTCTCGCTACATAAATTAATTCCTAGCATTCTAGATCGAGTGCATCCAGGCATTATGGTTAGATTCTCCATTGATGCGTCTTGTTATCGTGATTGTCAACATCCGCAAACTATTGCGCATCAGCATGGCCGAGTAGATATCACACCGGCCAAATATTATACAAACTATCTTAATGATATATGGATGATTAGATGCATAACGGAATTGTCTAAATACACAAAATCAAAAACAAGATAATTATTAACGTTTAGAATGTAATTTTGTCAACACTAGATCATATTCACACATTTATGTTATAGCGAATAATTGTTATATATGGATAATTACAATATCGTTTATGATCCAGACCTCGAGGCGCCAGGTTAATCGATACAAAATACAAGAGGGAATACGTCATGGAAAGACTCTGAATCGATATAATAAGATTCGATGCTTACAGCATGTGTAAATGAGGATTGTTGTTACCGAGCGAAAATGCGTTGTAGTTAAGTCCGTTCGTGGGTGCGTCCACGCAGAAAGGATACGAACGTGACGCAATATAAAGTTTCAATTATGTGTTATCAGTACTTCTACGCTTTATTACATACCTACGGCATATCGGCTTACAATTATCTACGGCTCAGATATTATGACCAGCTATTACGCACTGATCACGATCGACCTAATCTGTTGTCAGACATGCGACAGGAGATTTTATACAAATTATTCTGCCTTCATTACAATAATCTCGCTTTTCTGCTGCCATCGTTGAAGTGAAAATTCACTCTCCATTGGAATGAGGTCGAGATTGCACCAAGTTTTTGAAAATCGTATTAATTTTTACTACGCTCGAATGCAACTTGGCGAGTTGAATTGCGGTATAATCGTAGCTGAGCTCATTTGTTATGCGACGCGACGTTGCTGTCGTTATTTTACATCTAGAATTTCGAAAACAATACATGCGTATAATTACAAACAAGTTTTAAATAGTAAATACGGGAATTTTATTTCACGGCTCGCCACAAACACTTCTGTTTAAAAAAAACACAGGCCATAGTTGCGGCTCGAATGTTACTCATGACTATAATGGGAAAATTGTATATTCCCAATGAAATGCATATACAATAAATTGTGGATATAATGATCTATATGTGTTTATAACAATGTACGCAACTTGACAAAAATATATTAGACCAAGTTGAATAAAAAAAACATTTGAAGGAGGATATATTAGTGAAATGACAATATTCGTTTTTTGTTTATTCTTCATACAATATGATGATGTCTCAACATACTTTAAGGTAGTGTTGTTTTGTAAATCATTTATTACATCTTACGGTCAAAATACGTGTAATTCTTTATCGTGACAGGCATAGATGGGGTAACACATACATTACCAACAGGTAGTATCACACACGCGCCGATTTGAGTTTACTTCGTTGTACAAAAGGTGTATCGCTGTACGTTTCCTAAACATTGTTGACGACTATTTCAAAGAAACACACTATCAAAAGCTACCTTCAAACTTGTGAATGTATTTTTTTCCTTTATTAGTGTACTCCAATTGATTAGTTTATTGGCACACTTCGATAATTCGTGATTTCGTTTAAAAAACGGCTTTAGCTTAATTTCTTACACATTTTTATATAATTGGAATTTTCATAAAGGCATTAATATTAAGAAACACTGCTCAGAGTAATATCTTTAGACGTACTGCAATCAGTATATGATTTTTGACTATTTAAGTCCACGATTCGCATTCTTTTTTTATTTGCGACTGATTTTTTTAAAATACCATGACTATTATTATAGTGCATGTCATTCTATATTATTTTCTTCAGTTTATATTTTAACACATTACAATGACGTTTATTCATTACTTGCACGCCTCCCCCCCCCCCCCCATAGCGCCAACCAAACTAAATAAACACATTTTACACTATATGTCAGTGTCTACTGTAGGACTTATCATAAGGAAAAGTTAAACCATTTACAAAAGTGTATTTTTTCAAACGTTTCAATAATGTGCATTTGTATTAGCGTAAATAGAGAGCCTGAGTAATTGTTGTCTTTATTATGTGGGCTTGTTGGTGAAAATGCTTTACTTATTAGGACATTCTTAGAATCACTCCGCCTTGCATCTGGAGATGATTAATATGTTTACTGGATGTGTGTACATGGAGATGGCACTACACCCCACCCCACCCCCACCCCACCCCAATTTAGTTAAAGCCAATTTAGTTAAAGCCAAGGATTTAATAATATTTGATATTGTTTTAGTCTGCTGTGAATATTCAGAGTTCTTCTTGGATGCCACATTCGACAGCAGATTCCACTCCTGTCTAAAGTAGGAAATTACTTTATTTGACTTGCTTTCGGAATGCTTGTCCGAGATTTGTAAACTGAGATTATAGCACACGTGCGTTGTTGCCCGAGATGGTCCCGAATATCGTGGTAGTAGTGACCCGTCACATCGAAAACGCTCCATAAGTCGTGTAAACGAACGTAATTGTGGGAACTGGTATCATGTGATTGCACTGACCTGCTGCTATGCGAGTACAATTTTAAAATTTATTTTGAAAATCCGTTGGCGTTTTCGTAGTTAGCAATCTTTTCCTCATACTTCCCCGGTACTGCGAGCAGGGGCGGTGAAAACTGATCCGAGACGCCAGAGTTGCATGTTAATCAAACAAAAACTTGGCAGGCTCGAGGCGTCTTATTGCACCCCAAGTCGGCGACGCAAACTCACGCCCGTTGACCATACTCAAAGTGACGTCTCTTTTGAAATAGTCTGCCTTTGCGAATAGTTCAATGTGTGCGTTGGCAGACAGAATATGGATATGGTATGATATACTTCTCTACTGACGTCGTACTATGTGAACAGAACGTGGGATACAAGTACTAGTTCAGTACACAAACTATCGCCTGTCAGCAATGGGTCGTGTCACATAAATTAAACAAAACACGACATTGCAGTATTAATAGTTTTAATTCGTTCAGTATAACGCCGGGAGTGCCTCGTGTTGTCGCGTTATATGTCAGAGGAGATGCAACGTGCCGAATGTGTTCAAAATTGCGTTACCATGGATACAATGTCGGTAGTTGAAATATTCTGGCTGAAAATACCGTGCCGTACAACAATGAATGAGACTCACGGGAACGCTAAATTATACGGGAATTATGATTCTTTGTTGTTATAAGACGATTATAAATATGGCTATTGAATACGAAGTTCTTTTATAATAACACGTCTAGGAAAACGTTTAAAGTAATACAGTGCAGTGAAAAGCAAAATGCCCGACCAGTCTATTTATACGAAAGTGTAAACTCGCAAAACGCGAGATAAGTACATGGATTTTATTTCTAGAATTTAAAAAAAAATTGCAGATTATCTCAATAGTCTCACGAAAACAGTGTTAACACATACAGTAACTATAGAGTATTGGTTAATGCTGAGACCAAACAATTCAAGTAAGCAAAATCAAAATTCAAATTGTATTAATTACAATGTGTTGATGTAGTTTTGATATAATAACACACATACAAACTCTAGGAATATGTGGCTATCTGTTACATAAAGTAAACGCGCTGAAAATTGGACACATTGGTTATATTACATTACTGAAATATTATCAGTTTTACTCTCGAGTACTACAGTATCACTTATATTTTTTTTTTCTAATGTTGCTATGTTGAAAGTGATTAGGGTTAGTATTACCATGGCAACATTGTCGCAATTATAGCTCAGTGGTTTCATATAACAACTACGCAGCATCTTAAAGGGTTTCTCACTTGCAGCAGGCATCGTTTCAACTAATTTGTCTGTAACGACACAAGTTGTCATCAATTACTCATCCATAAAGTATACGACACTCGCGTCACACAGTGATTATAATAATATAAAGAAGTAAATAAATACAAACAAACAAAATGAATGAATGAGAAAAAGTGTCAAAATGTTTATGGTATCCGTAGCAACCGTCTACTTCATCATCAAGTTTTTAGAAAGTGCGGCAATGAAACAATGTGTTGAAAACAATTATTGATTGTCCACATCCGTTGATTGCAACAAACAAAACAAAACAGATGATAATATCGTCGACTCGGACTCGAAATGACAATCATGCACTTTCACTTTCTACGCACGACTCGCGCGTTCGCGTTATTTTAATTTACGGCTCTGTTATTATTGATTGTGAATTTTGAAACGCAACTTCACTGTACGCATTTCCCTGTGTAATTGCCAAATAAATCTTACCCGAATAAGTATGTATTGAGAAAGTATTCGCACGGTGTGGAAATCTCCAATCACAAATGTTTAATAAATGCATCGAATAAATCTGTCTTTTGTGTATTTGGTATTGTTTATATATTTTCTATTGTTTTCGTGTCCACGGAATTTTGATTGGATATGCTGTTTATATTACTTTTCACGAGGTTTACTTATAAAAATCTGAGTCTTTGAGATAATCGTGTATCTACCAATTATGTTAATTTAAGATCGTGCTTCTGATTCGCACGTCTTTATACATTATTCGATTGTAATATTTATAATACCCCTGTCTTTGTTTACATATATTACAAATCATTCTTTTCCAAGCTAATAATTCTCAAATGAGTTTTTTATTTTGAAACAATAATGAGGACGTCCACATTTTATTTTATTGTACGTGACTTGCATATATATTTTGAATTATAATAATCAATTAGAGGGGTATTTTTAAATTTGACTTATTATTTCCTCACATCTTTAAATATGATTCGCTTGCAATAAATGTTGTATTATATTCGAATTAATTAAATCCAGGGTTCCCGCCATTGCGGATAGAGTTGTAAAACACTTCTAAGTCCTTCCATTTTCCCTCTAATTAAACATTTATAGCGGGTGATAAAACGTTTATTGATTTCATGAAACTATGCGCTATGTATACGGATATGTAATCAATGAACCGCATAAATCAGGCGAACGAGTTCTTAAACCAAAATTTACTATACCACGAACAACAGAGAAAATATATCAAAACAACTACTTACTTCGTTTTCTACATATATACGATTCGTGGTATTTAATAAATAAAAGAATGTCTTCTCTAGAAAATATTCAACAATTAATAACACGAGATTCGTTTTTGTAAACGTCATCGCGCGTCTTGCGATTCGATGTGCAAATCTTGTTTAGTGTTTGATTATCCCATAAATCACACGCAAACTTTTCTAACTTTAATAGTTACTTTTCACCAAACATGGCAGAGAAGACGGTGAGAACGTTAGTGCCGTTCATACTTCCTAGACTAGAAATAAAGACATTATTCGTTCAGAAGTAAGTAGAAATCGTGCCTCCCCTGTGACATTTTGAAATGGGCTGGTGACGTCGACACGTTTCGCCAATAAGACCTTGGTATGCGTCAGTAAACGAGGTCGCTTTATGCGATGGATTGAGAGGGAAATTGAAGTACGAAACTAAACGTTTATCGAGTTACTTGATACATCAATCGTCTCCTACGTGTGTCGACGCCTTCCGGTGCAGTCACCATATGGTCTCAAAGGCCCAATACAAACATATTAGAGATTTTCTATATTACGTGGTTCTAAATGTGATATTATGGAAACTGAGTAATGAGATTGTGTAATACTCTAATAAATAAAAGCATTCCACGAAGATTTCGTCGCGTTTCGTGGATTTTTTTTTATTTTTTTTAATTCAGTAATACTTCTCATAAAATTAAGTTAGCCACAAAAGTCAATTTTAAAAGGGGATAAAATCAAATAAAAACAAGTCGTTAAGTCTCGTACTGTTTGCACTGAAAACTACTTCATATAACGTGCTTGATTCTTATATTGAATTGGTGGCTTTTTTTTCAGTATGGGGAATTTGATCCGGTGACAATAATTATAAATCATATTACACGATGGTTGATGTAACCTGGATTTGCTTAGCACTGATGTCGGTAGTCTAATGTATAAGAATGTGACTCACGTTGCTCGAGAATAATTGTTTCCCGAGATTATGGTGACTCCAAGTCACGTTTGTATTGATGCGAAGTATTGTGTGAGACTGGTGAAAATATTCGAATTCTTTGAGAATCGCAGCTGTTGTGGCATGCGTATGCATGTGTACGTAATTGTACTGCAAAATGAACATAAACAAGTTTGATTGTTTTACGAGTTTTGAAAAAAAAAACAGTTATAAATCACATGGCATTGACAAAAAATAGCAATAATGGGATTGTGTTTGACACGCTAGTTCCACGCCACTGTGTCTTCACAATAACGCGTACTTTGTACAGCAGTAAGTCACCGTGTTTACCAAAATAACAAGCTCTTTGTGACGCATTCCTGGCATTACCCCCGACGCCGAGGGAGTTACAACTATCGGGCATTTTAATTGATTGGTGTTTAATTGATTCATTCTATTATTTAGATGTTTTAACATTTTATATTCAGAAAATGTTATTGTTGTTCAATTCGTATCAGTATCAGATTTAAAAAAAAATACACATATCATTACGCCTACGAACCCATGGCTTCAAGTTCATTCTTTCAATAAGGTTATTTATATGCTGTAAATTGTAATCATGGAAACGCCTAGAGTCCTCCCCAGATTTTCAAACTGCCTGGGGATAATTTTCGAAACGTATACCTCGTTGTGTTCATTTTATTCAATGTCTGTCATGTCACATTGCGTTGCGAGTAGACGAGCATAATCGATTTCTGGATTTCGCTCAAAATCGGGCAAAAAAAGCAACCCCGAACCAGTGTAGTAATATGTCTCTACGTGTACACGATTTCTGTGACAAACATCAATTCGGCACATTCAATTGCAGAGCCCATAACTTTCCACATGACGTCATAATGAAGTTAAACCAAGATGTAATTGAAATTTACATTTGTAACTAACACGTCACTTATCGTACATAATCACTTTCGCTTGAAATACTGTATAAATGTACAGTAGTACTACATTTCTGTGAGCAATGGAACGACTAATTAAATACATCCCGGAGATGATACTTACCTTGGCAGTACACAATGACTTTGCAGAATCCCGCACCAAAAATAAAATTTTGTAGAATAGCACCAATTATGGTAGAAGGCATACAAAACAGAGCAAATAACAAGTCACTAAGTGCCAGGCTGAAAAGAAATAAGTTGGTCACAGTTCGCATGCGTCTGTTTTGTATCAGAGTCACAATGACTAGCACATTGCCTACGATAGCGAGTAGAAATATTAGCGAGTAAAGAATGGCTGAAAGCTTCGCGTCCATTTGAGGGAGGTACGAGCCCAGTTCTGTACCGTTAATGAACGTTCCGTTCATCGCTGTATTCGAGTCTGGAATGTCGAATAATGTAAAGTTGCACACTTTTTTCAGTGTTTCAGCTCCCCATTCACGTTCCGTCTCGTTACACACTGTGTACCCATGCCCACCCGTGTATTGCACAGTCTTACTGGCGTTACTGTACAGCATGGCTTCCACGCCTGTCTTCCTTAGCATCGCTGTGTGATCTGCTCCGTAGGTATTAATAAACCCAGATTGTAGCATGCTCTAGTCAGTTCCAAAGAGTCTGACGTCGTGTGTCCGCCCGTAAATGTCCCTGTAACATACAAACAAAAATGAACCCTGAGTAGTTCTGAGTTAACTACGTACACTTGGAGAAGTCAGCGTCTTTTTATGTCAACACCTGCAGCTACTACTAATCACCGATGTATTTGAGCGTATCTATAGATGTTTTCAGCAACCTGATTGGCTTTCATACTGACTCGATTCGTTGACCGCCTCCTATCATGACCTGCCAACCATACCAAAGGCATAAATACGTGTGTTCATATTAAACGCAATCTAACAGGTTTCTCGACGCGTAACTAGTGAATACAAATATTCAGACGCGCATTGTCACGTTTACTAACTGACTGACTGATTCGCGTACAATCTCCTATGTGATGCGAAATTGATTTTTAAACCGCCCCTCGTGAATAATTGATTTTCGCCCGAGTGTCGCTGTGCATACTTAAAACAACCGGCGAATGACGTGCGAACAATCACCGACAGTCAGGGGAATGTTATATTATTAAATAAATGTGACATTTCCTTTCACCTCAGTGCAGAAGACATTCCTTTCCAGTAATCGTTTCCTCTAAAAGTTGATGATTGCTGAATTTATAGATGATTATCCCGCTTATTCCAATGATTGAAACTAAATTACAGCGCATATACCCGTACTGTGTTTATCTAATTATTGATATTCTGACCACACTGCCTTAACGACAGGATTATTATCCGTAGTTGTTATTACTACATTCATTATATGACAACTGTGCAATCACCAAACAACGAATTTGTCTTCTTTCAGCGCAGTTATTCATAGTTCAAAACATTGTCAAGTGACGTAACGTGCATTAAACAGTATTGAATTGGATCGGCCAAAAAGTTTTCATGGCAGCGTTTCATTGAATGCGTCACAAAACTGTACGTTTTTCTCTCAAATGACGCTGACAAGTTTAAAAAGGGTGAAAGCGAAATTAACGTTTTCTACAAAAGAAACATGAGAATAGCATTATGATGTTGCGCTATATTTGAATAGGAAAGCTTTCATACTTTTGTGATTAAAGATCTCTAGCAAATGGCTTGTCATCGTGTTTTTGTGGAGATAATAAATATTGAATTCGTGCTTTGCATATTCATTTGTTGTAGGTGAAACGCAATAACAGTTGCGCGTTTCCAATAAAACAATGTTTAAGACAACATAGCCGCGCTGCTCCAGACGTTTGTAAATTCGTAATGTACCGGGGGGTATAACATTTTAATTGGAATCACTGCATTTATTGAACCTAAAAAAACACAGTATGGATTGCATGTCGATTTGTTAATGGGAGGATTTGAATAAGACTGTTATATCATCATGGGACGGAGACTATTAGAATCAACGAAAGCAACGTCAACACGGGCCGCAATGCTTGATAGGAAAACTAGTTCTTGTTGTATGTTGACAATGTTATAAAAGAGTTGTCGAAATTGAACTCCGCATTACGGGGAAGAAATGAGTATATTATTACTTCGTTGTAAAATCACTAAATTGTCTTTTTGTTTTGAATAACAGTATTATATTTTTTGTTCGAATTCGGGCGCTTGTGTCCGAGTGCAGATGAACATTGACCTATGTGCGCATGAACCCACTGATTGTGTTATTTGTGTTACGAGTACATGCCTCTCCGATGACAAATTAAACTTTCGCAAATAAAACAGTCACTAACATCACTTGTTAACCAAATCCAGCTGAATGTTTGCGAGCGCCGCCATCTTGACAAGCCTCCTATGTATAGCAACGCGGTACGTACAAGTGGCAACTGCCAATCCACGCTTAACTGGACTGCATAACGTCACAGAGCTATTCTAATCTGAACCATTTATTAGCGAATTTGCGTCAACGTGAAGGCATGTACTAGCTGATTTTGTCAATTCGTGTTATTCAGAGACACTTTCAAATGAATTTAAAATCAAACTCGGAAAGCAAATGTTGCAATGTTCTGTGACACACGATTCTTGAACAATTGTCCGACGATCTCATTGAATACGACAATTTGGTCATACACGCATACATGTGGAAAACTATTGGAACATTCTCAAAAAAGAAGGTGAATGATTATTCCCTCATCTTGTAAGGAATATCGACTGAAGAATTGTCGTTATCTTCTTTCAAGAGAAACGAGAATACCGAATGTACATTTCCCAGTTAACGTCAGAAACAGTACTATCACCGACCGTATGGTACATCGAAATTTAAATTATAATTTATTCTTAGTTATTATTTACTATAATACAAAATATTTCACGCCGATACAAATGTGTTATGCTACGACTCATTCTATTATACTGCAAAACTATCATATGCAAATATTTTCGAATTAGTCAAAAGATGTCCATGACCTAAATTTAAACTAGGCAAATTGAACATACTTCCTCTTTTTCTCCCGTAATGAGTGGAACATTAGTCAGGTTAAATTATTCGTATTAAGAGGATATCAATACAATATACAACTGACCGAATGTCGATGTCTTCTGTTATTTGTCATGAACTTGAATTTGACCGTGTATCATACGTTGAGCATAATGTTCCCACTATTCTTAACATACTAGGTGTCGACTATTGGTTATATGTAAGGATATATTTAATTTGTTTTTCCGTCAATTTAATTTTCGTTGTGCATTTTGACTTTTTAATATATTACTATGTGTATTATGCTTTTTGGAAACCAAAGTAATTGCACAGAATATTTGTATGTCTCAAGCGTTATTTGCTTGTAACAAATTGTTCAAAATATAGTAAACGTAGAGTTAATAGTTTTGTCTGTTGGTTATAAACACAGAAAATAAAGATTACAATTGATGTTGTCATCTTTTGCATTTTGACATTCTGTGCAAATGCCTTGTGGCGTTTTGGAATATAGCAGTTTTGTAGCAGTGGACGGTGGCAGATTTATTGAGATCTTTATCTTTTCGTCGTCGTCTTCGTATTTATATTTTAATTGTGTTATATTTATAATAATTATCGAGTAAACCTTCCTATCATTCCAACTCAGCGGTAGCTACAAGTGTCTAATGACGTCATTCTTGACGTAATATCGCAAATATAGTAATGCCAGACAAATAGATAGTTACTTTACTGTCAACGAAGTTATGTATATGTGGCAACGAATACATGTTTTGCAAAATTGTTGTGTTTAATGACGAATTCAAGCTACTATGGGGGCAAGGGGATTCCTAATGTGTCTCATTATATGTGTTATGCAGACAAATAACACATTGCATAATCTGCATTTGTAAACGCTAAAATAGAAGTTGTTAAAATAGAACTTCTGATTTTCAGACAAATACAAAGCTATGTAATGTGTTGATTTTTTTAGAACGTCCGCGGATGCAAGCTTCAGCAGCATTCATATGTGAGTGTCGAAGGAAGTCTTTAACCAGCCAATGTGTGTTTTCCGCAATTGATTAATGGTACGGAAAGTTAAACAAAGAGTTCATGAATTTCAATACTCGTCTTGTATTCCATAGCAGATAGACCGTATGGCACGTCGTATACAGTATTGCAGTATACGTATACAGTACACACGGTCGTCGCAATATGTCTTACAGATTTTAGATTTCCCTGCCTACACATCCTAGTGTGAAAGATACAATTTAAAAACATACTGCTGTTGATTTATCATAATGTCATTTAACAATATGATCATACATTGTTTTTATTTTGTACGTATAATAATAATAATAATCACCGAGCATGTGTTATTATTATTGATGGGTTATTGTTTTCATTAAACTAAACATTATTATTACACAGGTACTACAGATTACTGAAAATGAGATGAAATAGTTCCCTTCTGAAGTTTAAACATTTTTTGGCATGTGTTGTATACCTTGAAATGTCATATGCCACAGTGCATTTTGACATTCTATTAACATTGTTGTACGTTATGGTTTTGCAAATTTGAGTGTTTTAAAGGTAAATTATGCGCACTCTCAGTCCGAGAACGTATAGCACAAATGAAAAACAAAGCCAATATCAGAATAACGTGCCTTTGAGTTTAATCTGCGTTTCGTCAAAAATCATCAAATTTTTCAAAACTATGAAGCTTTAAAAAAATCAAATGAAGAGTTTGAAACTCGCTATGACAATGACGTTCTCTGGATTCTGGGTCTCTGTCATTAAAAGTCACATTTGTTCTTAATCATCTATGTTACAATTAATGTTTGTCGATTAAATATTTCATCGTTTTATTTTTGAAAAACTCTAGAAATTTGTTCTGTTTGCTGCAATTCCATTGTCTTTGCTAATACTGTGACGAACGCGCATCTGCCAAAACGAATAGAAAACGGCGGGCTATTATTCTGAATTTAAAACTGTCCTTGCCCTCACTCATACTAATACCCTGGCGGCAGGACGTGTTTACGACTTTCCTGGCGATTGTCGTAAAGCCTGGGAACATAATGTAATTATAAAAGTACGCCATGATCTCGTCCTGACGTGTGGTGCGTGAAGAAGTTACTTTGACTCGTGACGCGATGTGTCCACGCCGTGATTTACAAGCTAAGTTAGTACGTATGTATGTGTCCAGCTACATCGCATCTTTAAGTCCTTGAACCAATTGTATGAAACATATTGTAGGTATGCATGTCGAGGTACCAATTAAAACAGTGTTCTGAGCTATGCAATAAAATCATAAGCGCCATGAATAATAAAAACTATTTTTATTACATGTGCAGATATGTGCTATATCATAGGTATCAATATCTGTATTTTAATGAAGTTATCATTATAACATTTTTGAGTGCAACATTAATTTAAAAGCACATTTTAGGAGAAATCAAAGTGGATTGCTGAACATCAGTCTCATTTGCATATTGAATACCAATACTCACACATTTGCATTAACGTGTTGATGAAAGCAGGTCACCGCAAGTCGAACTATCAACGGCTATATACGTGACAATACCAGCAAAAAGCCTTATTTCATAGCAATACGTGGCATTGATCAGTTGATTTT